CACACACACACACACACACAGGAACACAAGACAAAAGCTATAAATACCATCGTCGCCTCAGAGCGACGTGTCGGAGGCGCAGCAGAATTTACTGGAAATGCAGCGACTGATGCAGATTCCACTGGATCATCACTGCACATCAACACAGTTTAAAATAAACAGGAGAATTCTTTTGTAATCTTCAAGTCTAATAAACAATCAGGTTTTTAACAGTCATAACAGTCGAGAGAAAAGACCTCCCCCAACAGTCTCCTTATGAAACCTTATTTAAATCTGCTAGATCTTTGGATTAACAATATTAATTAAAGATATTCTGTCTGTCCATCAGTCCGAAACATTATATTATATTATATTTTATTATATGATATCATAATATAGTACAGTATGGTATAATATAAATATTTAGGCCCAGACTGAGATATCTCAACATTTACAGGATGCATTGCATGAAATTGAATATAAACGTTTGTGGTTTCCCTAGTAGCAACTTACAACTCAGTCATTTCATGTGAGTATCTGCAAATGTGTGTTTGATCATATGTGACGGTTTCGAGTCAACGCGTTCGGGCAGGTCCAGATTTGACCTGGACACCGTTGTGGGTAACGGGCCACATTCTGCATGGAGCTTTTGTGGGTTTGTAAAAAAGGATCTATGCCCGACTCGTGTTCATCTGTGGCATCACGACGTCACGTTCAGGAGCTTCAGTGTTTTGTTTCCCACAGACTTTCAAACGTCTTTAATCACACGAGAGGAAAGAAAAACCTGAAAAACATAATGTGTCTGCTTTGAATTCGAATCTGCTGCAGGAGACGCATGTTTACTGAGCCTCATTAAGACGTTTACATTATAACACCTCAGCAGATAGTGATAGCAAGGCGTGACCCTCTGGCCTGCAACCATCTTTGTCTCGTTGGTATGTGCCTATCCATGTCCCATGACCTGCTCCTGGTCTAAATATAATCATCCAGGCAGAGTATCCCACTTCGAAGGTCACGTTACGTCACGCGGAGCAACAAATTCTCGATGAGTTGGCTCCGAGGCGTGGAAGGCTTTATGATCTCCGGGCTCACACACAGAAGTCGTCAAATGATGTGACACAGCGGCAGCTCGTGACTCATTATCTTCTAGTTGAAGGGTTTGATGGGAGATAAAAGCTGCTGCAGCCCGGGATGATGTTGTTCCAGTGACCTCCAGAAGCAAAACTCTCATGTTGTGTCTGTTTCCTGAGACATTTGGCAGAGATGGGTAATGGAATAAACAAGGTGCAGTATCGTGAAGTCGGATTAACTCGATAGAAACTTTTTAAAAAACTTAAAACAGCTTCTGCATTCTCGATTTAACTGGATGTTAACGTTTCCGTAGGTCCTGCCTAATCTTTATCTGGGAAATATTAAAGGTGAGTGAAGGATTTACTCATTTTCAGGATAACATGATCGAGTGTTTCAGTTCCTCGTGTGGTGAGATGCTACACTGAGCTCAGTTTCAATAGAGTGGAGATGATAGAGAGCATTTTAATGAAAAAATGTTTTTCAGCAGCTGAAGGAAACTATTTCTGAGAGAATCATGTGAGTTCACAAGGGTCACTGTGGGAGGGGGTGCCCCGCAGTGTCGGGGTGTCCCCGGTGTGAACTGCATCCAGCACATGTAATGATACGTGCATTTTTTTAATCTGGGCACACGTTTGAAGGTGACAGCACAGGAAATGATAAAAAAAAAAAAATATATATATATTTGGATGATTTTTTGTAAACATGATTCGTTCAGGAACTTATGGTCTCATGGGAAACTCGGCGGAGGTGGAGGTTACGAGCAGCAAACTGCATCGTCGTTAAAAGACAAAAAGATTGTGATGTAATGCAGATTAGTTTCACCTCAAAAAAGAAATAATAACATTTGATAAAGTCATTTAAAATGTTGTCGACCTAAATCTGTGATTTAACCACGTGTAACCAACTCGATTTAAAAAGTCAGTTGAGATTCACTGCCTCATTTTATTATGTGGAATCGACATGTGAGTTTATTTATTTCCCTGCTGTTCCTCTTTAATTCTTTTAGATTTCATAAAACTTTGCACATTCATCTGCAAAATAGCCAGAAGAATTTCAAAATGATAATTTAATGGACAAACTTTGGTATTTTTGCGACTTCCACACCTCGTAATTTGATAAACTCAGAGATTTAATGTGGTTGACTTCATGGTTTTTAAATTGCAATGTTTTTTCAGGAGTTGCACGTTGTTGGACAAAGGAAACTGGACTTGAATATGTGAACATGTAGAACTCATGACCTGGATGACAGAGAAACTTCATAGATTAGATTGCAAAGGTTTTTTATATTTTGCTTTGAACTACAGGTGTTTTAATCTTGTTCCTGCAGAAATAATAAATTCAGAAATGTTGTTGTATCCTGTACAATGACAAATAAAGCCTCTTTACTATCATATATAATAAAGGTCACATGTGTAAAACTTAAATTTGGACACATATGAGGTGACAGGCCTTTGTTTGTCTTTGCCTTCAATGTGATATCAGCTTCCTGACAGCCCATAAAAATATTTATTTCATGACACACACACACGTGGTCACTTTCTGCCCTTGAAGCTGTTGAGCCTTTCAGCCTCACAGATGTTTTCTTTACTTTTTTTTTTTTTGTTGCTGTCAGCTGTTATTTCTGTCTCACAGTTTATCTACAGATAAAATGTGCAACATGATCACTCGAGGATTTAGTCTGAGTCATGTAGCTGTCAGGAGGGTTCACTGCAGCTAAAGGTGGCATCTTCCTGCATCCTGCAAACTTGCAAAGCATGAGAACACAGAGGTGAAGACACATCTGTCCAAGGTGGAGAACATTTGGCTTCCTTTTAAAGAACAAAATTTGATTAGAACTGTTACTGTTTCTTGCTTTTGGGCCAAGCTGCTGCACTGTTTTAGAAACATTGGTTTTCCGGTTTTTCTTTCAGTTCAAAACCAGAGCAAAACTCTGAAGGCCACATTTGCTTGGGACACATTTGAGGGGAGGGGGTTGGTTGGTGGGCAGAAAATGCTTAATTTAGGTTTGAGTCTACATGAGATCGTTTGTGATTGGATGGACGGAGAATTTGCAATTTCTTGGTTTTCTGTCCGCAGATGCTCAAGACAAGGAGCTGTTGGCGGAGCACAACATCACACACATCTTGTCGATCCACGATACGGCCGCCCCCGTCCTGGAGGTGAGGTCGTCTCTGTGTGTGCGATGTCGTCCTGTGTGACCCCCGACATTAACCCACAGCCTCCTCCTGACGTCAAAATACTGAGTCGTCCTCAGGACATAACATCTTCCTGCTGCACCTAAACATCTCTGTCAAATCATTGATTAATTAGGTCCAGACACAACAACTATCACACATTTAAATATAGAACCAGCTGATTATTAACTTTTTATTAAACTAGTGCAGCTCATTAAACAGTAATGTTCTTATTTGAATCATCAAGACCTGGAATTTAGAGAGTTTCACGTAATAATTAGCAGTTTTTATCTGATTTAGTAAGTAAGTTCTTTCACTCGACGCAGCTGTAATATGGAACAAATGGAATAAACACAGCTTGAAATTAGTAAAAGCTGAACTGCATTAAAGAAAATATGTTTTTTTGCTTATGTTACTTCTGATCTGCAACATTTTTAATTTACTTCTCATACAATTATATATTGTAAATATTAAATTTAACCTTCTGTGACTTTATTCTCTCAATTTATTTTATGATTATTAGTTTTCCTTTGAATTTTACTCAGATGATTTTAAAACACTGCACCATGAACTTTTCCCTCCTCTGTCCGTGTGTTTGAAAATCTCGAGACCTTCAGTGTGGACTTTCACAACTTTCATCTTTTCTTGTTGAAAGCGAACATGAAAAAGAATCCAGAGATTTCTGTGTCTGTGCACTTTCTCCTACTTTGCTCGTGTCTTTCATCGAAAACTTAAGAGAAACAGCAACTTGTACGACAGTATCACTACTCAAACTGGTCAACCACCAAAACCTTTTAAAAGGGATTCGATCTGAAATTGTTTGTCTCAACAACAAATGTTGTCACGTTCATTCAGCAGCTCCTGTAAAAATTCACTTTTAATGTTTTTAAAGTAACTTAACAGCTTATTTGAGTTGTGTGCCTCAGTAGTGACTCAGGTGGGGTCAGATGGCGGATTTGCATAACCAACTGTCAAAGTGCTGACTGATTGATTTCTGGGAAAACAGCTTGAAGGTTTTCTGACAGAGGAAAGTAGAAATTTGCAACCAGAAAATCTCTGAGGTCGGACGTCCCACTCACCAAAGAGACCTGATAAACAAGCTGCAAAAATAAAACTCCAGACTCATGGAGCAGTCGTCTGAGTGTCTGCCGAACATTTCTGTGTTCTGTAACAATGTGTGTATACGAGCATGTGTGTGTGTGTGTGTGTGTGTGTGTGTGTGTGTGTGTGTGTGTATCACAGAGTCATGGTGAGTTTTGATGAATGACTAAATTATGAATAATGAACAAAGAATTGAGTTCTGTTCAATATTTCTCCTGCGATTACAATTACTCTGACATTCTTCTTCAATACGTGTATTTCTTAGAGGGTGTATCGTCTGTGTGTGTGTGTGTGTGTGTGTGTGTGTGTGTGTGTCTGTCAAGGTTTTTGATTTTTCACTGAGTCATGGTTGAGTTTTTAAAACTGACTATGCAAAGATTTCTCTGTATTTGATTGGAAATACCGCAAATGACTCTTCCTGTCAGCGATTACAAAACAAAAGCAATAATAATAATAATTTCACGCCACCTTACTGGACACCTCAGCAAACTTTACATGACAAATAAACACGGGAATAATCAATATCACACTTAAAATCAGATCAGGACACAACATAACATATTGTAATGCAAGAGTGATGTTCCTGATAATCCTTCATTTCCATGTTTATCACAGTGTTAAAGTGTGTTAAAGTGTATGTGATCGTGTGTTGCGTTGTGTTGCATCAGTACTTTGTGGTCGGGGGTTTGTGTGAGAGCGACCTGACCAGTCTGCAGCACTTCCAGAGCTCGGTGTGTCCCAGAGGAGCTCTGGGGTTTTTGCAGCGGTGCAGTCATAACGGACAAGCTACAGTTTCTGTCCACTGTGCACATACTGTCAGCTGCCAGGTGCACAGAACAAAAATATAACACAAAAAGTTATATACACACATGTAGACACACGCAGGCCAACATCTCTATGTCACGGCCTGTACCAGTCCGGCTCTTCACAGCGGGGTCAGAGGGGCCACGCTTTCAGGGGCCGTCCCGTTCCCCCAGAATCAAGAAGTGAGAGAGAGTCGGGATTTAAACCAACGACCCTCTGAACTGTCGTGCGTTGTTGTGCAGTAAAAGACAACTGGTTTGTCTCCGGTGAAATATTCTGGTGATGTTTGAGTCTAAACTTGTCCGTCCCTCACCAGGACATGAGCTACCTCTGTATATCTGCTGCTGATCACTCCAAGCAAAACCTGTGAGTACTTCATTCTACTTACACACGTGTATATGTATGTCAACCGAACGTACTGTACGAAGTCCGCAAATACTTTTAACTTCTTCAATATCAGTATCAACGGGTGGAGTTTAAATCAAAATAAACCATCAACAAGAGTCCTATTATAATTTTCATAATTTCTATCAATCACATACTGATCGCCCCCTGGTGGTCATAAACCCTGCCTCCTCCATGTTAGCAGATGGGACACGGAACAAATTAAATACACGTTCTCATCACGCTCATGTATGTTCATGTCTCAATTTGGTTTTAATTTGAAAGCAAAATAAATCATAAAATCTACGATGTGCTCTGTTTGAAGGTTCCAGGTTAATTAATGGAATAAAAACGAGTGAAAACATCACAAACAGGTTTCTTGTTTTTAAATTTAGTTTATGGCCAAAAGGGTTTAATGTTTTTCTTCCATTAAGAACTCAGCACTTCAGAGACAGCATCACGTTCATCCACGAGTCTCGACTGAAGGGAGAAGGCTGCCTCGTTCACTGGTGAGTGAAAATAAATCCATTTACAATCTGTCGGTTCATTATTATAAAGTATAAATACACAAAATCACATGATGCTGCAAGTAATATTTCTCTGGTTAAAAATGAGAGGATATTTCTGAAGGTTTTTTTTTTTTTACTCACTTCTTTTTGGAAAATAAATTTCCCTTCGATATTTAAAGTTTAAACCACTAATTTCTACGTTATTAATAAAAAATGGACATAAAATCCTGAAACATCTTAAATTACAGTGACATTTGTTTACAACTGTGAGAATTTGTCTTGAGATGAAAACTGATGGAGGTTGTCATATTTCTTTAAAGTACGTTTTCATTTTCAACCACAACAAAACCTGCCTGTCAATAACTTCATGCTCTCATCGTTAATTTCATCATCTGTCATTTTCTCTGGTATCAAATGACCAAAATCTGACATTTAACCACAGCTTGAGGGAAAAAAAGCTGGTTTCACTTCTTAGTTCACTAGAAATGAGAATCTCAGAAACAAAATCTTTTGATTATCACAACAAACCTGGAGCTGTGTGCCCTCAGCGTGGCAGGAGTGTCCCGCAGCGTGACCCTGGTGGTGGCCTACATCATGACGGTGACGGGCCGCGGCTGGGTGGAGTCTCTGGCGGCGGTGAGGGCGGCCCGGCCGTGTGCGGGGCCCAACCTGGGCTTCCTGCGGCAACTGGAGGAGTTTGAAAACACAGACCTGACAGAAGTGAGTGACACCCAGCAGGCGGAGGTCAAAGGTTACGGGTGATCCCGGCCCGTGGTCGTGCTGCGGTCATGTTAACGTTCAACGCTGATTCTCATGTACGACGATTTGCTAACTGTCAAATATCTCTGACAACACAATTCAGATGAATTTATGCATGAGAAGAAATGTTTAAAAAAAATATGACGGACTTCAGATCCCTCCCCCGCTGCTGCAGGTTAAAGCAACACTGTGTAGGTTTACTGAGGAACAGCGCCCCCTGCAGCCACACGTGGAGCTCTGACCGCCTGGTCTCACTGAAACACGACTGAACTCTGGGAATGTCTGTTTGTTTGTCTGTCTGTCTGTTTGTTTGTTTGCTTGTTTGTTTGTTTGTTTGTTTGTTTGTTATCTTTCTGCAGGATTCTAAAAACTACAGAACCTGTTTCCACCAAACTCTGTGAAGTGAAGGAGCCTGGGAGTGACTCGTTACATCATGTGATTAAAGAGCAGATCCATGATCGGCTGTATGTTTCAGGGAATAATACACAGATCTTGATTTCTCACAGTTTAGAACTAAATTTAATGACAAATCAGTCATTCAGATTATCACACCACTTCTTTTTATCCTAGTTCTGCTATCAGAACGTGTTGGATCGTTCAGGTTTGACTCTAACCTGAATGTACGGTTGAATTTGGATTCATCTGTATATTCAAACAACACAGTGTGAAGTGGAAATGCTCGTCTGGCTCTCAGATTTGTAGTTTGTTGTTGTTTCCTGCTGCAGTGAACATCTGGTTACACTCCAGATGTCACCAGAACCTCCCTCCTCTAACCTCAGCTGAACACGATGGGCCTTTGATTTGATGTTATTTTGGCACTTGAACACTTTCTTTCCACCTCCAGTATCGAGCGACGTGGAAGGAGCGGTACGGGACGCACACGCTCAACGACGACGAGGAGGTCAAAGCTCTTTTAACTCGGAAATCCACCTGCAGCAGCAACGCCATAACTACCAGCATCACTCCTGCAGCGGCCACAAGTAGAACCTGAGAACAAACATCTTCCGGATGCCTCGTCTGACGTCAGCTGAAAGCAGCCGAGGATCGCGGGCCTCTGCACGGACCTTTGACCTCGCTGAGACCGGAGCGGCTGTTTCCGCGCTTCATGATTGCTCCTGCAGACAGAAACAACCGCAGAGATACTCCACTCTGAGACAATTCAGTCTCGAGTTGTGTTGAATCATATTTTTACAGAAACACTCTGCATTCATGTGATGAGGGGATTTTTCTTTAATGTCCTCATCTCTTGTCCCCCTTCATCATGTCCTCGCCACTAACTGTCAAAATCACACGCTCGGGCAGTCAAGCAGGACAACGAGGAAACATACAGTACACAGTGTGAACACAAGCTCAGCGGCGTACACCCCCCCCCCCCCTTCAGTTTTGTTATGCTGTGTCTGCGACTTGAAATATGAGTATTAGTTTCTGTGACAGCTGAGGAACACTGAGTCTCACAGTAACAGAGGGTTGAGGTTTTGTTGGCATTGATCTATAAACACTGAATAAATGCAATAAAAACCAGATCTCACTGTAAAAGTTCTAATATCAATTATTCACATGAACATTTCTGCTCCAGGAAACTTTATTTAAACATTTACATTTGTTTTTAATCATAAATTAACATGAGATTTTATTTAAAAACTGAATATTCCAGCAGCGACGGTTCCCTAAAGAACATACTGTACTATAATTAAGATCTGGAGGGGAAACAAGGAAATAAATATATATTATTGAGATCATTATTTTGAATATTTTTAAGTGAATTACTGGAAATCAGGACTTCTGGAGTATTTTTTTTATGTGGTTTTGATAATTTTACCAACATTTACTTATTAACTTTAATGTTTTGTGACCAGTTCAACCTGAAAACTCCTTTTACCTTGTTTTGTTTGTATTTAGTCCAACGAATATAAAACCATTAAAGTGAATCACAAATGCAACAAATACAACATCTAACTGCTGCTTATCACTCGTGATGATAATAAAATAATAAAATACCCAACATGGGGGTGTTGTGCTTTATAAAACAGTTTTCATACTATTTAACTCAGATACTTGAGATAAATATAAAACTGGTTTTACATCTTTACTTGTCAGTGTTAATCCATTACATTCCCCTGATAACATCTGACATTATAAAATATGATCAATAGATTGTTTAGTTTCACCTCGATCATCTTAAATTAAATACTGCTCCGATTTAATTTAAATTAATTATTTTAACATCAATGATGATCATCACATGGAATCAGGCTGATGATACTTTTATCTTATTTATTTTCTGTGCTGTGTGAATTGTGTGAATCTTTTTGTCTGTCTGGGATAATAAAGATAATTTATCCATAATGATGAAGAGCCTTGAATACTTTGGTACTTAAAACTGCAGATTTAATGCAGTTTTATCTTGTGGTACTTTGACTCAAGGAAAAGTTTAAAATATGGACTATGGAAATTGAATATTTTTAAATATATTATTGTTCAGCTTTTACCTTTTTAACTTCAGAAATTGCTCCAGATTCCTTTTATTTTCTGATTAAAATCTATAAACTGTGTCAAACTCTTCTGATAGTATGTCAGTAAATTAGCTTCCTGATGACACACGAGTGATGATAATAATAATCTCTCCTCTCTCTGTGGGTTCATCGCAGTTTTTCTCTTTAATCTTCCAGAGGGAACATTTTATTTGGTCCGCATCACCTCAAGCTTCTTTGCTCAAACTTTATCATTTCAGAGAATTGTTTTTGTCTCCTCACCATAACTTTCCACACGCGCGCTTGTGTCACTTCTGACTTACACCGGCAGGGTTTCCCCACCTCTCTCCTCCCCTCTCCTCCCCCGGGTGAGTTACCTCAGTGTGCGCACTGATGGATGGAGGCGGGTCCCCGGCAATAGCAGGTGCGTCCTCCGGCTCCGTGTCTCCGCCTTTCCCGCTTCGAGTTGGAGGATTTAAGCGGCTCCGCGGTAATGATGAGGACTTTCTGACTTTCTCACACTTTGAGTGATTTCTGAAGTTTCTCGGGTTTCGAGTTCCACAGGTAAGACGCGTCAGGGCGCACATAGGGCGCACGGGTATATCAGCGAGAGGAGTTGTGGAACGAGGTGGTGGGTGTTAGATATAAGGGTTAACTTGGACACACACACACACACACGCATACACACATCACAGCCCCTGATAGCAGACTTGTTCCGTGCGCGTGTGTGGACAGACATGAACCCTGAGCTGGATTACGGAGGCTCCGGGAGCGGCGGGAACGGGAAGCTGCGCCAGTGGCTCATCGAGCAGGTGGACTGTGGGAAGTATCCGGGGCTGGTGTGGGAGAACGACGAGAAGAGCATCTTCAGGATCCCGTGGAAACACGCCGGGAAACAGGACTACAACCGGGACGAGGATGCCGCGCTTTTCAAGGTACGAGCCACGCGTCCTCGTGCGTAAAGACACGTGACTGGTAGACTAACAGCAGTGGAAAACGAGAAAATGATTAAACGCGATGTAAATGGAGAAAATGAGAAATCTGCTTTTCACATGGAGTTCATCAGTCACTCATCCTGTGTTTTTGCATTTAATACGTTTATGTGTTAAACCAACGTGAAGAACTTTACGCATGGAGTGTGCAGCGGCTGTAACTTATCGATTCGTGCCAGAAAATATATCGTTTTTAAAACTTAAACGCTTTAAAACAGCCAGGGAAAAAGAATTTGTCCGAAAATGATTAATACACCTTTTATTTCTTATTTTATTCACCGTGCCAATCCATGCAGCAGTTTCTTTTTAAATGCTTCTTTTTTGTGTGTTATCTGATGTTGCTTTTAAACTTTGATCATGATTCATATTTTATGTAAAGCACGTTGATTTGAAACGTGTGTATTATATTTAGTTTCGGCCTAAAACGATCATCAGAAAACATGAGATCTCCACATGTGAGAGGCTGCAAACATTTCACACATTCAAATTTCAAAAAAAATTAAAAAAAACTTTATTGCAGATTCTCAGTTGATATAAAAACCTGCAGCTCTATTGGACCTTCATCCATAGAAACGCGAGGCGCACATCTGCAGGCTAACATCTGGCTGTGCCCTGACCCGGTGCTCTCTGCAGGCAGAGGCCGTTGCATGTCTAACCCTGTTCCCGGGGTCTTGTCCGCAGGCCTGGGCGCTGTTTAAGGGCAAGTTTCGGGAGGGGATCGACAAACCGGACCCGCCGACCTGGAAGACGCGTCTGCGCTGCGCCCTCAACAAGAGCAACGACTTCGTGGAGCTGGTGGAGAGGAGCCAGCTGGACATCTCCGACCCCTACAAGGTTTACCGCATCATCCCGGAGGGAGCCAAGAAACGTGAGTGCCACCAACAACCTGCTGTCTAGACTTCACGATGATGCACCTGACTCTGAGTATTTGTATTCGTGATGAACTGTTTGATTTTATCAAAGTTGGAAACTCTCTGATAAAGGTCACGCACCTCTCATGGGTCTAATAAGCCTTTCACAGTCAAACGTCTAAACCACCAGTTTAAGGTCAGGAGCTGTCATCACCACATGAGTGGTGTCTGATTTCTGAAGTGAACTTTTGTCTGTCTGACACGCAGGACCTCGACAGGAGGACAGTCCTGTGAGTCCCATGAGCTTCCAGGTTCACCCCTACCCAGCTCTGCAGACTCAGGTGAGAGGATGAGTGATGAGGATGAAGGATGAGTGATGAGGATGAAGGATGAGTGATGAGGATGAGTGATGAGGATTCACAGGCTCATTAACTGCATCACAAATAGAGCCTGGTGATATAATAATAATATTACACTTTATTTAAATTGTACTTTTTAAAACTGAGTTTCCAAAGTGTATAAAAGTAACAAACAAGGTTCAAATTAAATAACGTGACCAAAACTTGTTTGAAGAAAAAAAAACCTCTATCATGAAACACGTCACTCAGAGAGTGAAACTCTTCTGAGGTAGAACAATTATATATTTCACTCATACTGTAAAAAAAACAGACAGCCCCCTGAAAGTGAAGCCAAATCAACTAAATCGCCCCCTGGTGGCTGGCTGCAGTGTAGGTCCTAACCCTAGCCTCCTCCATGTTAGCATTACGGACATGGACCAAACAATCACACACCGTAAATCGAAGTAGACGTAGAGAAGATATTTTGTGTTATTTTAGGAAACAGACGCTCAAATGTTTCTGATAAGTTTGTAATTTGGTATTTAATGATATGAAAACGGGCTGAGACGTCATGATTGACAGCTGAGACTGACTCCCGATTGGTCGAGTGTGTGTATCACCTCCGGGATAGTTCGGGTTCATTTCTGGATAGTGGGAGGAGACCTGTCGTCCATCTTCATTCACAGTCTAGTGTTGTTTCTATCGAGGAAAATTATGCTGCAATAATTATTGATTTTATTTTATTGATTGGTTTGAAATCCCCAAACTTCTGCAGATGCTGGTTTTAAAAGCTGAAATTTAAAAAAAAAAACACTTTTAGGATTTTGTCGTTTTTTACGTTTAACTTTTTGAGCGAAATTTGGATAATTTCAAATTCACCTGCCAGATTGTGTTCGATTTATTTTATACAGTGTAAGTAGTATCTGTGTGTAGATGCCTCAGTACATGATGTGTGTGTGTGTGTCTGTGTGTAGATGCCTCAGTACATGATGTGTGTGTGTGTGTCTGTGTGTAGATGCCTCAGTACATGATGTGTGTGTGTGTCTGTGTGTAGATGCCTCAGTACATGACGACACCAGACGGCAGCTGGAGAGATTTCTGTCCGGAGCAGGCCCCTCTGCCGGAGCTACCCTACTCTCAGTGTCCCTGCCCCCCCCGCAGCCTGTCCTGGCAGGGCCCGTCCATGGAGAACGGTTCGCTGCCACATATTCTCACACTTTACACTGACGTTAGCATCCACGGCAGTTTGAGCATTATTTGAAATCTGTGCCTCCGACAGGATACCAGCTCAGAGCGTCCATTTACTCCTACGGTCCAGCTGACAGTCAGGCCCCGCCCTTCACACTGGACGCAGGCATCAGATCAGCTGAGGCTCTGTCAGGTACAGAACAACTCTCATTTCACTGTGTCTCTCTCTGAAGGCTATGAAACCAGGGGGAGGAGGATTGTGGGTCTGGATGATTTACTTATCTGAGGATTAGATGGAATTTCTATGAAGCAAAACCAAAGATTTAGTCAAAGATCTGAGAAGATTGAGACGAAACATCAGTGTTTATGTTTGTGGGTATGAAAACTTTTGTCTTATTGAATAAACTCTGCATAACGGTGCGCACTCAGGATTATATCTATTTTTTAAAGTTTATTTCCTTAAAATCTATGAATTGATGATATGACATGTTTGAAGTCCAGTGAAATATGAGACATTACAGATAAATCAACAAATGAGAAACAAAACATCCACAGATGAAAGCATCAGAATGTAAATGTGAAATGTTAAATACCTCTTCCTCTTCTCCTCCGTCCAGATTTCCGTCTGCACGTGTCCGTGTATTTGCGGGACAATCTGGTGAGGGAGGTGACCACCTCCAGTCCAAAGGGCTGCCACATCACCCCCTGCTCCCCAGAGGAGAAGCTCAGTCTGCTGCCCGGAGGCCCCGATGTGGTCCCCCTGCCCGTGGACCACCTGTCGGTCCAGAGGAGGGCGGAGGAGTGTTCCCCGAACCCCCCCTCCACCCTGGAGAGGGGGGTGTTACTGTGGATGGGTGCGGACGGACTCTACGCCTGCAGGCTGTGTCAGAGCCGAGTGTACTGGCAGGGAGGACCGTCCCCCTACGGAGACAAGCTCAACAAGCTGGAGAGAGACGTCACCTGTAAACTCCTGCACAGCCAGGATTACCTCACAGGTGAGACAGGACGGAGCCGCAGCTGAGGAGGACATCGAATAAATAATTAGAAAAGTGATAAACAACCGTCTGCATTTACACAAAGTGAACTTCTTCTGATCAACAGTCCACAAACAAAACATGTAAAGATATTCAAATTAATATTCACATCTGAGCTGCAACTGAACTTTTGAGATTTGAGTTTGATAAATCATAAACAACTGATTCATGAAAGTGTTTTTGATTTATCAGAGTGAAGGCGTTTCACACGTCTCCTGTCGTTATGTGACATCGCTTCTATTTGATAAACATCCTCATTGAAGCTAAAAACAAAACGTCAGGAATCGAGTTTTCCTCTGATCTTTAGCACATACACA